ACAACTTGTCCACTTGCTTGGCTTCTAAAATCGCCATTGAAGGTCGAATTCAATGGTTGGAGACGCCCACTAGATACATCACTAGATACATATCTAGAATGGGTCGATCACATGTCCTTTACACCAATGAGATTGGAAAAGAGTCAGAATCCACGATGTGATCATGAGCACAACATGTAAAATCTGACATGACCTTGATTTGGTTTGCAAAGTTGCATAGAAATGGTGTTTGAAGACCCAAACCTTTGTGTTTCCTTTCGGGGAATCAGCAATCACTCTTGAAGATATGATTGTTTTAGGTGGTTACTTTGTTTTGACTCACTTTGTTTTGTGTTTTTCCAAATCCAAATAATTGGAGGGGGAAAAAAATAGATGCTCAAAGCGCGATTAGAACTTGAAAGAATTTGATACAAAAAGGCATCTCAATCTAGTTGGACCAAAAGATTCATGCAAACAAGTAGCAATATCGAGCAGAAAGCTTTTCTTGCCGTGTGGCTGTCGAGGTCTGTGTTCCCAGCACTTTCGTTTGATACTGTCGGCAAACATGTATTTTCTGTTGCTGTTCTTCTAGCTTCAGGTACTAAAATCGCTCTTGCACCAGCTGTTCTTGCTAATCTTTACAAAGACTTAAACTTGTTAAAATAGAGGATTGTAACTGTTTCAAACAATTTGGAGACTAAGGAACTATCTACATTGGCACTTTGGACTGTGAGAATATATTTTGTATATTTTCAATTTGGCATGATTGTGTATATTAGGCATTAGTAATTAGGAAAGATTGTGATGTAAATATTTGAATTGGCTATATTTCCTTTTTCAGTCATAGGTTTAGGGTTATATAAACTGATGAACTCTTTGTAAATAACTGACAATTGAATATACAGAATAACATTCAAAAATCTTACATGGACTCCTTTTCAATTGATTCAGATTTAGGTTTGGGAGAGATTTTTCAATTTGAAGCCAAACCCGAATTCAATTGGAGATGGTTTGCCTAGATTTGCTCGATGGGACAAAGTGAAGAAACTGAATCCCAGACGTGTGGATTGTTGTTGTGCCCAGGTTCCAAAAACAAACACCAAATAAACAATCACACAAGAAAACAATAAGATATATGTGGCAATGCGCCTATGTCCACCACAACGGATTTCACTATTTGCGGAGAAAAATTACTACTTGTGAATGTCTTTCTCAACCACACCTTTCCCATTCTTTTCTGTCACTCTTTGCTCACTTGCTTGCACACTTTTTGCACACTACTTGCACCTCTATTTATGTAGCAATTCTTAGGGACAAATTTGTACTTCGAAGTTGGGACATTTGTACTTGCTTGCACACTTTTTGCAAACTGGTCTACTTGCTTGGCTTCTAGAATCTGAGGCAACACATGGCAACACAGATAAGACTATAAAATGTGTGAGTGTTTTCAATGGCTCCCGTATGCGATGGATATGAAGAATAGGTTGTTGATCAGGTTTTATTGTGAGAAGGAATAGTGGGTACTGATTGGTTCTAGTTAGGAGGAAGATTTTGAGTCCTTTGCTAGGTGTTTGAAGGTTTGTGAGCTGGTTAGATTCAATTGTATAGAGCAGTATTTTCCACATCGCGTGGCGATGCAATTTTTAATAGATCAAGATCTTTCGGGTTTTGTAGCTTGTGCAAATGCAACTTGTAGTATTGCTTGGAAAAATTTCATCAGGCCTATTACAGGTGAAAAGATGTATGTTCCATCACGATTCTTTAAATCCGTTGTAACCACTTGATACCTGTGTTGGTGGGAAAAGTCAAAAGTTCAGCGTGTTGTCAAAATGAGAAGTAGATAAAGGGAAAAATATAGGGTATGTTTGGTTTGGTTTTGGGAGATTAGTTTTTAAAAATTGTTTTGGGGAGAGAGTTTAGAAATTTTTTTGGTTTGTTTGGTTGTGTATTTTGAAAGTAGTTTTGAAGTTTGGGAGTTTGGAATGATTTGATATTTTGTTATAATTGAGTAGATGTGTGTGAGAGAAAAAGTGATTGAGAAGGAGAGAGGAGAGAGAAAAAGTGATTGATTGATGGATAAGAGAGAGAGACTGATTTTAAAAATTGTTTTGGAAAAATTACAAACCAAACAAATTTTTTTAATTTTTTTTCCCAAAATCACTCTTCAAAGCCAAACCAAACATACCAATAATGGTTCAGAAAAGAGCCAACACAACCCTTATAGAAAGATGGAAGATTATGATCCTATTGACTTTCCTCCCAAATTCACCAGAAAAATGTTAGATATTCCTCTCGAATGCACTGGGAAAACGTCAGATATTCCTCCTGGTTTTCGTCCCAAATCCATTGGGAAAATGTCTTATATTCCTCTGGGCTTTCTTTCTAAATGTCGTGAGAAAACGTCAGATATTCCTCCCAAATGAACTGGGAAAACGTCATATATTCCTCTTGGCTTTCCTCCCAAATCTATTGGGAAAATATATGCCAGCGCTTGGTTGTGTTTTGTAATTATGATTTGAAAGTATGAGTAGTATTTTGAGTTTGTGGGGTTTGGAATTATGATTTGAGTGTAGAAAATTTGTTTGGTAAAGAGTTTTGAAATGAGTTTTGATTTGAGTAGGGAATTGTTGATGTGACATTTGATATTTGATACAAAAATTTACAACTCATAACTAAACATACAATTCAAAATTATTTTAAAGCACATAAAAAATTTTAAAAATTTCAAAAAATGTTTTTTTCAATTATATAAAAATTAACATATCAATTGCCAAAAAAAAAAAATCACTATTCCGGTCAACCGGCCGGACGTCCCGTCAGGCAAAATTTTCAAAATTTTTTTTTGAAAAGCGCGGCTGAGAAAGCAGTTGAGACAGAGCTCTCCGCAGAACTTTCGAAATGTGATTCTAAAACACTAAACAAACATCATATTCAAACTCTAGTGTAGAAAACTAGTTTGAAAACATAAACAAACAGAGCCTATAATATTCCTCCTGGCTTTCTTCCTAAATGCACCAAGAAAATGTTAGATATTCCTCCTAGCTTTCCTCTCAAATCTACCAAGAAAATGTCCAATATTCCTCCTAGCTTTCTTCCTAAATGCACCGGGAAAATGTTGGATATTCCTCCTGGCTTTCCTTCCAAATGCACTGGGGAAATGTCAGGTATTCTTTTTGGCTTTCCTTTCAAATGCACTGAGAAAATGTCAAATATTCCTCCAGGCTTTCCTCCCATATGCACTGGGGAAACATCAAGTATTCCTCTAGGCTTCACTCCTAATTGCATTCGTAAAACTACTAATAAGGATCCTGGTGTTCTCTGAAGGTGACGTACAAGTGTTTGACGCATGTCGGGCACAGACACGCTCTAGACACATGTCCGACACTTGGGACATGTTGGGACTGTAAGATTTTTGAATAAACTTGTATATTCTATTGTGAGAGGTCTTAGGTTCAAGTCTCTCTATTGGCATTTGGTATTTGGTCCCATTTTGATTTCTTATATCTGTTTGGTTGTCTGCTTCTCCTTCAGCTTGGTTCTTTGTTTGTCTCTCCACGTGCAAGATGGGGTTGCACATGAGAGAGGGTGTTGAATAGCATGTTATACATTGTTGGGCTCATTTCCTAATAGCTTAGGCTTTTGAGAAAATTTGTAACTTAACATGGTATCAAAGCCGAAGTTCCAAGGATGGGTAGGGTACATGTCCCTGGCCTGCATGCCACAAGTGCTACCAAGTGAGCATGCTGGGCATGAGGAAGGACGTGAAGCAAAGTCCCACATTGCTTGGCTACTAAATTAATATGCAATATCGAAGTGTGAGGGCACCCTCACCTCAATAGCTAGCTTTTGGGGTTGAGTTTTACCCAATACCATGTAATAGGGACATGCTTGAAACATGATGGGCACATGCTAAGGAACATTTTTTTCAATAATAATGATAATAATTCTATTTATTATAATAGCATACCTAAGGTTGATGAATTTGATAAAATTAAACATTTGACATAAAATAAATATTATATTAAATATTTAAAAATATGGCATATAATAAGTATATAAAATTATACATTTTGTATGTGTCCCCAACGTGTTGTGTACTACATTTTTTGAAAATTTGCGTGCTTGAGTGTTTGTGTCGTCCGTGTCCGTGCTTCTTAGGAATTTGTGTTTCTTATTGGATTTAGAATTTGAGATACCTATATTCATGTGTTGTGATATAGAGATTCTAGAACCAACTTGATGTTTTTAGCTGTGGAAAGGGATACTAGCTCAATTGCTTGAACCCTGTGACATGCTAAATTGTTATTAATGGAATTAGATAATAGATGCATTTTCTTGTTCTTTACACAATAGTTGCGCCCTTGCGATTTGTTTGTTTACTAGACCTAGAGATTTCATTAGCAAGGGAAAATTATGAAACCACCTTATTAATTTTTTTATACCTTGTGCAAATAATTTTGTAGGCCCGCAGAGCCAGGTATTTGGAGTGTTTCCTATATTTTGTTAGCGAGGGGAAAATTTGAAACCACCATATTAGTGTGTTATTTATTCCTCATGTTGTAATGCATAGAGATTTGAAGGATTTTTTAAATCATTGAGGAACTCAATGGCAAAAAATATTGTCAAAGAAGGCGCTATAGTTACGAAAAGAAATACCCTATCATGTACTACAAAATTGTCATTTTGGTTGTCCCAGTGTTTGCACTACTTGATCATCACCACCACTTGTGCTTCTTCTTCTTTACTGACGAGTAATGATGTAAGTTGGACTGGGAGCACAAAGGCACAGGTAATCTATGTTAAGTTTGGGAATTCATAATTTGATTTTTTATTTTTCTTTGTCAACGCCAAACTGGAGTAATGAAGGATTGTACTCCACATATGTGGTTTCTGTGTTCCTATTGGGATGTCCTGAATCTGGATCTCGTCATCCTTTTGTAATTTTTTTTTTATATTTTTGCTGTTTCTATAAACAGTTCTTTAGATAGAAAGATGACGTTGCTGATTGAATGTTTTTGCAGGTGCCTTGGCATTTGATGTAGAATATGGACGATGGTTGGAAGAGCACAATCGGCACATAAATGAGCTTAGAGCCGCAGTCAATGCACATGCAATCGACACAGAACTTCGTTCTATTGTGGGCAATGCCATCACACATTTTGATGACATTTTCAGGTTAAAGGCCAATGCAGCCAAGGCTGATGTCTTCCACATCTTGTCAGGGATGTGGAAAACTCATGCAGAGCGGTGTTTTATGTGGATTGGTGACTTCCGCTCATCTGAACTTCTCAAGGTGAGTCTCTTGATGGTTTTATTGTTTTCATCTACTAGACTTTTGTCCATTGAAAAAATGCAAATCCATTAGAGCCGGAATAATGCCTTTCCCAGATGAAAATGGTCCTATGGATGAATTTGTGCATGTTTTCTTACAACATATGTTTTAAAGTTTAGAAGGACATGAACTGGCTTACAAAATTACTTCAATTAGTATTTTGTTGTACTTACTCTCTGCCTCTTGTCCATTGCATTATTTCCAATATATATGTGTGTAAATGTACTGGACAAATCTTGTTTGAGGTATTCATTGCCTTGTCTTGTTATAGTTGTCAATATCCATCTTTGGGATTTTGGATTATGTAATGCATATGGGTGTATAATTTTTTATTTTATTTTATTTTTTTCCCTTAAAAAGGCTTTTTAGTTCTTATAGCTGAAATTTTATGATGAAAAGGCTTTGACTAACCAAACGGCCGTTGGTAGGGTTGAGTGAAGAAAAATGATTCATGTAGTCAACCCCATTTGATGGGTTTAAGGCTTGGTTTGGTTTGATGATGTGTCTTGATATACTGAGCAGTGAAGGTGATTGTTGAATTCTGGTGCAATTTTCGATTTGCAGTTCTGAGATTCTCATAAAACTACCATTTTATAAATTAGGATAATCATACAGTGACTTGTTTGTAGGACATGCTAAAGTAATTTATTTCTAGATTAAACATTCTAAAATAATTTGTTTTCAGGACTATTATTTCCTATTCCATTTAATCAATATGAACATGCTTGATTTTGATGGCATCATTGCATCATTATATCCAACTGTTTGATTTGGCATTCATCTCCACTATGTAACATGCTTGATTTTGATGGCATCATTTCTGTCATGACTCATGATTGTCTTTATGCCAAGACTCTGTCTCATTCATAATTTCCATTTAGCTCTCCAGTATATGTCAATTCCATTTAATCAATATGAACATGCTTGATTTTGATGGCATCATTGCATCATTATATCCAACTGTTTGATTTGGCATTCATCTCCACTATGTATCATGCTTCTGTTTCTCCCTGGTATATTGGTTGCACATTGTAATGTTGTCACATTCTTTTCATTGTAGCTGTAAGTTGAAAAAAGTAAATAGTCATTGTTGTGTTACTTAATTGATTACGACAGCAAAGAATTGTTTAGGGAGGTGAAAAACTAGTATCTAAGGATGATATATATGTATAGATATATTATATATATAACGTGTCGTGTGTGTGTGTGTGTGGGAGTGTTTTAAGTGCTTGGCGAGGATGAGGGGGCTAGCCTTAAAGTTGCTAATCTTTTGATAAATGAGCTGAAAATGTCTTGGCCCCTTTTAAACTCAGAGATCTTAATTGTTTTGTGGTTATGATTTTTTCTAAACTAAAGGCAGTAGCATGGCTAGGAGGAAATTCTCGACGGTTATGACCAAACTATTAGAAGCTAAGGCCTGTGGTTTTTTCTGCATTACCTTGCCAGAAAATAGTATTTCATAAACTTGTGACAGCAAAAGTATTTGATATTTACTATATTTGTATTTAACACAAAATGTTACAAACTGTTGTAGCTTTTTAGTTTTTCCTTTTCTTTGATTTGTTTTATCATTTTATTCTTTTTCTTTTCTTTGAATCACTACAGCTCCTCGTGAATCAATTAGAACCTTTAACCGAACAACAGTTAGCGGGCATCGACAAACTACAACAATCATCGCAACAAGCAGAGGATGCTCTCTCTCAGGGGATGGAAGCATTGCAGCAGTCTCTGGCTGAAACATTGGCCAACGGCTCTACAGACCCATCAGGATCGTCAGGAAATGTGGCAAATTATATGGGCCAAATGGCAATGGCCATGGGGAAGTTAGGAACTCTTGACGGTTTTGTATGCCAGGTAATTTCCCTTCTATTGATTTTTTCATGCTCTTCTGTTTTTCTTGTACAATTATTATGCCTTTGATTGCATGTCGGACACCGACACCCATCGGAAACTTTTGACATGCGTCTAACACACGTCCGTTGAACACACGTCCAAACATGTCCTATTATTTTTTCTTAATTGTTTTAGACTTAAACGCGCTTCAAACACTGAGGAAAACACGTGTGGCTTAAACAATCAAGAAACATATTACAAGTTTTGAACAAAATAACTTGGGATCTAAAATTTTAATGATAAAAAAAATAATGTAAATTTATATATATTAATCCACTATCATTTAAACTTTAGAAATTCGTGTTATGTTATATATTTTTATGAACTTTGAATAAAATATTTGTATATATAAATGACATAAAATAAATATATAAAATCAAGTATTTTGCGTGTGACCTCCATGTTTCATGTTCTGCATTTTTTTTGGAAAAAGTGGCGTCACTTGTTTGTGTTCGTGCTTATGTGGGAGAAGCGGTTAATTTAATATGTATAAATATATATTGTTTTTCTTTAATTATTGTATCCTAAGCTCTTCTTTTTTCTTTTTTTTTTCTTTCCAAACTTGAAAGTGTTTCATGCGTGTCCTCGAAATGGACATGTGTGTCCTCCTAGTGTTCAGAGTATGTGCGAGTCTAAAAAAATTATAAAAAATAATAAGACATGTATTAGGAAGTGTCCGATGAGTGTTGGTGTCTGACATGTGTTTGACAAGGACACACCACATTAGTTCTTCTAAGAGTACAAGCCTCTTATTATTAACACTCGAGAACATGTCTTCTAAACTTTAATTTTGTGGACTTGCTAAACAGTACCATTCAAATTAAACATGATCTTAAATAAATTTACACTTTTGTTAGTTAAATGACATGAATGTTTTAAAATATCCCGTTCGCATCTCCTTCCTAGATTGACTTTAAAACATACTATATTGACTAAAGGCTTGATAAGCATTGAATTAAACTGAGTCTGCTTTGTGTTTGACAATGGTGAATATCCAAAGGATTTTGAGTTGATGGCACTGAATTGAATTGAGTTTGTGTTTCTTTCTTTTTCATTTTTCTTTCTATTCTTTCTTTTTCTTTTTTTTTCATTGGATAATAGAAATGAGCAGTGAACATCCAAATGCCTCCCACTATTTTAGTGTGTAATTTTATGTAATTCTGAGCTACCAGCACAATATCTTTTCCTTTCCTGTTAATAAATTTGAATCTACTTCTTACCATTTTTTATCGTTTTCTTTTTGGCAATTACCAGGCCGATAATTTACGACAACGAACGCTACAACAAATGCACCGCATATTGACGACCAGACAATCAGCCCGTGCCCTTATTGCAATACACGACTATTTCTACCGACTTCGAGCCCTTAGTTCTCTCTGGCTTGCCCGACCACAAGAGTGAGATAATCTACAGATTCCCTCCTTATAATACCATCTACAAGATTAGCTCTAACAGCAAGCGATACTAATAATCCATGTCTGGTGATGCATGAAGGTTACAATTATTGTATTACAGCCCAGTCTGCACATGTAAATTACTTGTTTCAAGTAGGTGTTGTATGCTAATTTCTTGTGAATGTGCCAATAATAGCATTATGTTGATATGTACCAAAACTAGGAAGGAAATATCTTCGTAGTGGTTACATGTGAAATAACAAAAACCAAATTAAAACCAAAACCAAATTAATTTCTTGAATGAAATTTGTTTTGGGTGTAATGTTTAGACATTTGTTGCGTCACGTTCAATTTTCTCACAATGTTGTGCATCTGTTAATAATGAACATGTATTGATGAAAATCATCTAGTTTATATTTTGTCTTTGTTCAATGTTGCATTCAAACAACGTATTGATTTACTTGTCTGACATGTCAAAAAATTGCAACAAAAAAAATGGTTTGGAATTATCAACCCTAGGTTTTGAAATTATCGCTACTTTTGAAGGCGAACAAATGGTGACTAGGCATTTTTGAGGATCTCCCACAACATTGGTAGATAGGACATACCCATCCCCATTTTGGTGCCATCACGATAGCTCTTTCATTCCACAGGGATTACTTATTATTTCAAGAACAGCATTTCTCGACTCCACGAATACTAACATGCTTGTATTGCAGCAGTTCAAACAACCTTAAATGCTGGTACTATCCTTGTCACCATTTTTTTCCTAATTTGGACATACCTTTAAATGATACCTATCTTCTCCCAGTCCTGAAACTTCAATTCAAGTCAGGGCTTATAAGTATTTGTCTGCAACCGTGGGACGATCATTGCTGAAAGCGGCACAGCCTTCTGTAACACCAGTCCAAATGCCTCGTCCATGTTGAGCTCAATGCCATCTGGGAGCCTCCAATCAAATGAGTGCACTAGTGTGCCCAAAATGTACTCGACAGCTGAAATTCCCATCCTTATTCCGGCACACATTCTTCTCCCGGCACCAAATGGTATGAGCTCGAAATCATTGCCCCAAGGATCAATCTTTGCATTCTTTTCGATCAAAAACCTATCCGGGTTGAACTCTAGTGGATTCTCCCACACATCAGGGTCTCGCCCAATTGCCCAAACATTAACAAAAAACCTAGTGTTCCTCGGAATGTAGTAACCGTTCACCTCACATGCATTGGTGGATATCCTAGGAATACTGAGGGGAACTGATGGGTGCAACCGGAATGTTTCCTTGCATATGGCATGTAAGTATGGGAGATTAGGTAAATCAGACTCTTCAAGCCGGCGGTTTCTTCCAATTACTTTGTCCATTTCTACTTGTGCAAGCTCAAGAATTTTAGGGTTCTTAATCATCTCTGCTAGCGCCCATTCAACTGTGCTTGCTGATGTATCGGTGCCGGCAATGAACCAGTTCTGGCCATTATTTCAAAATGGTTGTGAGAAACAACTGTATGCGTATATACAAGTGCAAGAAATTGCATGCAAAACAAAACTCAGAAACACACTAGTGCAATGAAAGTGAAATTATCATGTGATCGTGTGTTCATCCAATAGCATATGTTTGTGTGGTTGTCTTATTTCTTATTATTTCTGACAATGTTGCCACATGCCCATGTTATTGGACAGGGACATGGCATGGTTGTGTTGTGTTGTGTTTTGAGAACAATAGAAAAGTTAAGGAGCATCCTAAATGGAGTCCCTAACAAAAGAGATTTTTTTGAAATTCTTAATCATTCTTTATTTGTACCAAACATAGTTATGATTCTGTTTGGCGCAACTTCAAATAAATTAAAAGATAATAATCAGAAAATGTAAGTTAAAAGTACCTACCTCTCTCTTGCTTCCTAATAATCAATTTATTTAATTTAATTTTTTCTTGTAAACCTAAGTAGAAATTGTACCGAACATTTTGACTTGGGAAGCTCCATGAGCTACACTAAACTTATATCGCTCGCATTATCGCTCTTGTTTATTGTTCAATTTGGGAAGAGCAAGTAAATACATGAATCAAACTAATCCAGTCAAATCAAAATATTGGTTTTTGTTTTTGCATTGTTGCTTCATTTTAATTCTTGAATTTATTTATTGTTCAATTTGGGAAGAGCTGAGTTCTTTGGAGGAAGAAATATGAAATTTAGACTTTTTTAACCATGGAATTGGGGGGCTATTATTATTTTATGGGAAGTTATGAATTCAAATCTCAAAAGGAAATCCCAAAAGCTATTCAAACCTAAGATTTAAAATTTCAGTAATTACAGAATTTAGATTTTTATTAGTCAATAAAGCGGAAAATTGCTATTTTGGTAAAAAAAATTAAAAAAAATATTAAAAGCATAGGAAATCCCAAACTTAAGGATTCAGGATAGGCCCCCACTCTCTTTGTGCACCCAATACTTAGAAATCAAAATTTTAATATTTAAAATTTAAATGAGAATTTTTGTTTCACAATTCACTTAAAAATATGACTTGAATGCTAAAATTTAGATTTATTTTGGTTGGTGAAGCGGAAATTTAGATTTTATTTTGGTTAGGTAAAGCAGGAAATTGTCATTTTGGTAAAAATAAAAAATAAAAAAAATAAACTCATAGTTTTCATATAAAAGGAAATCCCTCTAGTTTTCTCCCTAGTGGTATGGGATGAAGCACACTAGGTAAAATAATCAAGGGTAAATTAGACTGACACTCTTGATATTTATATTTATTACAATTTTTTCCTCACATTTAGAAAATTATACTGACCCTTCTTGTCAGTGTAATTATTTGATGGTATTAACTTTTAAGTTAAAAAGATATATTTATCTTTAACCTTTACATATACTTTAAAGGCTAAATTACATTGACACTTCCTGAGGTTTCAATTTAATACGGATCCCTCCTGACATTTAAAAAAAAAAAAAAACTAATTTAATAAAAATAAATATAAAGAAATATATTTAATTTGTAAAAAATTATTTTTAACCACTCGAAAGATAAAAATGATATAAAAATGATAACTATTTTTTATTTTTTATTTCTTAACCAAATTAATTTTTAATTTAAAAAAAAAATTCTAAAAATCAAACCATAGATAGCCTCATTTCTTACGTTGGTAACTTATTTAATTATTTGTTAATTTTAAGACATTTTTACTATCTGAGGCCTGTTTGGTAACCATTTCGTTTTCAGTTTTCAATTTATATTTACAAAAAATTTTAAAAACGGTCATAAAAACTTGTTTGATAATTTTTTGGTTTATAAATGATCATCTCAATTTTGTAAATTTGAGGAAAAAACGTAAATTCAAAAAAATGAGTTTACGTTGGTTTTTAAACAGAAATTTAAAAATTTGACTAACAATTTTTTTTTCAATTAATTTTTTTCAACTAATACTAACCAAAGGGGCAATTGGTAATGATACTTTAAACCTTAGGGAAGGGATTGTAATTTCTAAAATGTGAAGGGTGCCAATGTAATTTACCCAGTGAGGGCAAAATTGGTATTTAAAAAAAATTAAATTGATGACATCAGCAAAATCTATTAGTTAACTTAACAGTCAACTAATTGAGGGAGCAATCTGTAATGAAATTTTAAACTTCAGGAAGAAAGATGTAATTTTCAAAAGATAAAGGGAGAGTTGTAATAAATATAAACTTCAAGAGTGTCAATATAATTTACCCAATAATCAAAGTTATTGCCAACAGTTTTGACTTTATCCCATTAAAGATTGAAATATACTAATAATAAAAAGTGAAAAAAAAACATTCACTATCACCATTTGGAGTTTAGGGAATGCATACCAAGAGAAGTGCTTTAATATTGGTCATTGTGAGCTCCAAGCCACCGGAAACCTCCCTGTTGGCCATCACAACGTCGAGAAAGTCTGGATTTCCCTCACGTTCGTGTGCGGTGAACGAGTGTTCTTCAATCATTTTTGTCAATAAATCATCAAATTTGTCGTGTAGACGCTTCATTTCCCTCTCAATCCCTTGTAAGTCCATCCACGCAATCGCTGGTATAAAATCACCAATATTGAACAACCCCGCCAGTCTCATGAGTTCCACGACCATGTACTTGAACTCATTGGACTCCGAACCCTGTGTGGCAAATACGCGACGGCTAAGACTTTTTTGTCCTATTAGGTTAGCCATGGCACATAATAAGATTTCTGGGACCACCACGGGTTCACCCTTTTGGCTTAATTCAAACATAGCTTGGATCACATGCCCAAGCTCTTTTCTCCTAATGTGAGCCCAATCTTTATATGATTTAGCTCCAAGCATATGCAAATTACTCAACTGCCTAAGCAAGTTCCACCGTGGTCCAATGTCTGCAAAAACAAAATCTTGTGCACCATAGGCAATGTGGGTTGCACCGGCATTGGGTGGCCGGTTTGAGAAATTATGGTCTAAGGACTTGAGAAATGCATGAGCCGCGTTTGGCGTGGATGCAACCGCCATGTCACAAGTGCCCATTTTTAGGTACACAATGGGTCCGTATTTTTTTGCCATCTTAGATAGGGCAAAGTGCGGCATGGGCCCCAGGAGAGGCAAGCAACCCACCACCGGCCAGCCAGCAGGGCCTGGTGGCAACCGGTGGCTGAGCCTTGATTGAACACATTTTTTTATGAAGAAATGAGTGATGAAAAAGAGTAGAGTTGCAGAGAGGAGCTCAAGAATTATTGGACCCATGTTTTGAGTACCAAATGCTCGTGTTGTGTTGGTTTGTTAGGTATGAAGTTTATAGGGCTCTCATTTTAGTGATTTGGTGACCAAAGGTATTATGGAATTTTAGTTGGACTTACCTCAAGTGGAGATATCTTGAGAACAAAAAGTAATTTTTTTCACGAGAAGTTCAATCATTAAGCTATTTAGACTCTTTTTAAGGCCCAAGAAATTTTTTTAAAAAAAGTTCTTATTCCCGAACATTAAATTTTTCAAAATTTAGTTCACTTCATTTTAATGCTTTTCACATTAAGAAAAATAGAAAATTTCAAAAGTTGAGGTTTGTGTGTTTTTAAGAATTTTATGTGCTACTTAGGTAAGTTGCATTAGAGTTTGATGATATGGTTGGTCAAGAAACATATGTTCACTTACCACAGAGGAGGCTGATGGGGTCTTCTCATGCTGGCCAGTGAGTCTTCTCTACCAGTCTAAGATGCTTCATAAAAATTTTCATATTTACGTACACGTATATAATAATCATTAACGGGTTTGTTTTTTTTTAAAGTTCACCATCTCAACTTAGAAAATATTTGGGTTTGGTAAGTCTATTTTAAGATAGGTTTGGTAATATGAATCACTCACTTTTTAATACTTGTTAAATAGAATATTCATGCAAAAACTTAAAAAGATCGGATATTGTTAGTTATATGTTTGAATTATATTTGTATTACAAAAAATGAATAACTATTCTTAAAATTATATTTGTTGTCTATTTTTTAAAAACAAATATGATTGAAACATATAGTTATCGATATCCAATTATTTTGATTTTTTTTTTTGTATGAATATTCTATTCAATGAGTCATAAAAAGTGAACGGCTCGAATTACTAAAATTGGTTCCAAAATTAACCTATCAAACCTAAATATTCTCTTAAGTTAAGATGACAACTTAAAGAATCTATTTTTCTGGCGTTTGTAGTGTTAATACCCCAAATGTTATAATTATATCATTTTCAAGTCATAGCTAAAAAAAAAAATACAATATGTTATAACCAAATATCATTTAAGGTATAACTAAAAAATTTTGTAGTCATAACTAAAATAATAACAATAATGTGTTATATAACCACGTCATAACTAAAAGTCATAATCACAGATCACTTCAAACATAACCAAAACTTCTCTGATCATAATTAAAATAAAAAACACAAGATGTCATAATTAACTGTACAATAAGTTATAAATAAGTCATAACCAAAAATATAATGAATGATAATTAAAAACCATAAAACATCATAACTAGGCATATAATACATACCCTAGTAGAAGAACCCTTAAAAAAGATAAAAATAATAAATTCAGAACCCAATATACATATTTTTTAACTGCACACTATTCACTAGATTACCCCCTAATGATGGTCGGACCAATGCCAGACCACTGCTCGAAGAAGTTAATGAAAAATTCACCGAAAAAATGGCTGAAAAAATCGCCAGCTATAGTGACTAGTGGTGGGTGGTGATATTGAACGAGAAACTGACAATGGCGAAGATCGATAATTCCGTGAGGGTATTTATTATGCAAGAAAATCGAGGATCCGGGAGAGACCAAAAAAAAAATGATTCAAGTGGGTTGCAACTTCACTTGCCATGAGTATTTATATACATCATGGTGGCTATTAGGAATGGTCACACGTATTGAGTTTGTTTCTCAATACTAATAGGTACCACCTTTTATAATAACCTTTCACCAATACTTATATCATTTGGTGTTTGAAATTCAAATACACAACTTCTAGATTGTTCTCAACTTTTTGGGGGAAGGTTTGTACATCACCACTTTACAAGTTATGATTCGGTGTGAGAGGGTCCATCATATTATGATGTGATCACCTCTTATACCTTCATCTCTCACTTGATCACACTTATAATATGATGATAAACCTAAGTTGGGCATGTTTACCTTGGTACCAAAATTTTGCCTCATGCCAGCTTTCATCTATGAAATTACCTCATAGATCAACGTCCGATTGTGACTTGGCCATATGTGCGCACATTTTTGCTACCAATCTGACCGCACCCATACGAATGTGTTCTCCCACTAACAACACACTCAAGATGACTTGAATTCATTATATCTCAAGTGAACGGTATCAATTTTCAGTGTTGGGTTCATAGTCATACCCACGCACCATTGACAACTTCAGCTGCATACATTCCTCATGTGTCGACCTACGCTAAATTTATTATTAAGTACTTCCTCTATGGTCCATTCCTGAAGGTTTTCCTTAACACACCTTATTAGCAACTTTTTATTGATCAAGCAAACAATATCACCTAGTCAACATGTTGCATATCATGGACCTTACATCTCATGCTAACTATGATGTTTGTACTTTGTTAGTTCCTCTAGCTTATTACCTGACCAAACACATGTTTCCATGCAAGGTAGTGTCGCATAACATCGGTTATCCAAGCGTCCCCAAAATCATCCGACTGTGCTTTTATATAAGTAGCTAAACCACATAGTTAGGCATTTTTTAATCCCATATTAGCTACATGTTCTCTAAATTTTTCCAGAGACAACCCTTTAGTCATAGGGTCGGCCACCATCTCTTCCGAGGGTATGTAATCGACTTTAACTTCTTCTCTCTCCACTATATCTTGAATACAGTGATAACTTACATCAATATGTTTTCCCTTAGAACTATTTGCTCCACTTTTTATCAATGAGATGGTAGATTGTTTGTCACAAAACATATTGACCAGTCTGGTAATTGTAAATTCTCAACAAATCACTTTATCTAGACCGCATTACTAACCGTTGTGTTGCAAACTATGTACTCAGCTTCCATAGTATACTTTGCAATACAACTTTGTTTCTTACTTAATCAAGAAATTGTTGTTCCACCAAACAGGAACATATGACTACTAGTAGATTTTCTATCATCTACATCTCCTACAAAATCCGCATCAGTGTATCCTTTTATTTCTTAATTACACAAACCAAAATACAATTTTAAGCCCTTGGTACCTTTTAAATATCTGAATATTCTTTTAACTGCTTGCCAATGTTCCTTACCTGGATTAGATTGAAACCTACTTACCAATCCTACTGCATGACAAATATCAAGTCTTGTGCTTGTCATAGCATACATTAGGATGCCTACTGCCTGAGCATATGTGACATTTAATATTTATCATTTCCTCAATTTTAGACTTATTTTGAGGATTCATACTTTTACTAAGACTTTGTCCTTTGCAAATAGGTGTGCTTAAAGAATTGCAATTATCCCTATTAAATCTTTTGAGCACCTTTTCCAGATATTTTTCTTGGTCTAGATATAATAACTTTGAATTTCTATCTCTTGAAATTCTAATTCTTAGAACATAGGTTGTAGGACCCATGTCTTTCATTTCAAATCTAGATGTCAAGAAAGTGTTGGTTTTCAAAATCATATTTGGACAATTTCCTGCAAACAATATGTCATCCGTATGTAAAGACAATATTGCTAACTTGTCATCATTTTTCCAGACATAAAGACAGTGATCTAATGTATAACGATTATGGTTTAGACCTGACCCGTTTATTGTTTTGGATCCGAGAATTCTTATCTTAAATTGGTGTTCATACCCTTATACATCTTATTTTTGTTTGAGTTTGGTTGTTTGGATGTCATTGTTGCGTTTGGAACAGGTTGGGAATCCATTTTTCGAAGGAGTCTTTGACCAGATTCTGGTCGGTTTGCTCAAGCGGTCCTTTGGTCGCTCGAGCGGTCTTTGAAAACTTTTAGTATATTTGCATGTCTGCAAAAGTACTGGGAGGGTAGTATTTTTTGCTCGAGCAGTATTTCTTGCGCTCAAATGGTCTTGGCTCGAGCAGTCCTTCTTGCGCTCGAGCGGCTAGCCTTGGTCTGTAAAACTTCTGAGAGGGTGTTATTGTGTGCTCGAGCGGTAACTTTGTTCCCTTAAGCGGTATCTCTTTTTGTATTTGGCCGCTCAAGCGGTCTACGTGTATATTAGTTCGTAAAAATCACTTTTTGGATTACTTTTTCATCTCTCTCTCTCTAGACATTTCAAAATCTCATATATTCTTTCTCTCTCTCTCTAAAACTCACATTTACACCTCAAATACACCTTGATCTAGTAGTTTATCAACCATTGTCCTTTGGGAAAAAGGGTAGAGCTTGATGAGGGCGTCGTTTTAATCTGAGTGGATCGTGTTATCGTCGCTGGTGTATTTTCAGTTTTTCTCCTCTTCGCTTCAAGAGGTAGGGATTCTAGAGCTTCTCTTCTATATCTCGCTATAGATAGACTTGTGGTACTTTTTACGACATTTAAAAACATAGTGTTATGGTTGATTTTGTTAAAAAGCATATGGGTTGGTTTGGGTTTAAATTGATGGGTTTGTGGGTTATGTTTATAATTGATTATGGGTTATAAAAGCATGTTTAGGATATGGGATTCGTAGAGTTTGGTATCTCCTTTGTAAATTTTGGGATGTTAAAGGAAAAGCTTAAGATGAATTGAAATTGGGTTATGTTGTGGTTGTTTACAAATTTTGGGGTTTTGGATTAATGTCATTGGGTGTTGGTAAGTGTTGTGTATGTTGAGATTTGGAATAATGAGGACTTATTTTTAAAACAAAGTGTGATTAATTACCTTATTTATAAAACATGAGAGTTTGGAACGTATGGGAATATGGAAATATCTACGGGTGTATTTATTGTTTTGATTACGTAATTGGCGTATAGAGTTTGTCATTGGCCATCGATGGAAGATGGTATTGATTGTTGGTAGATACGTGATATGAGTACTATTGAATGGATGGGATGATTTAAAAGGATAATAGTATTAAGGATTTGGTAATGAATTCGGGTGACAAAAGTCGGGGCGTGACATAATGGACTCACAGCATAGCTCATGTCTAAAATGGCTTGGTGAAATTTCAAGTACCATTGTCTAGAAGGTTGTTTGAGTTCATACAAGGATCTCTTCAACTTGTAACTTTATCCTCGTTGCCTTGGATTTGGAAATCATCGGGTTTGTGACGACCCTGCCACGTATAATA